ATTGCACCAATCTGTAAATATATTCTAGGTGAACGTAAGTCTGGCTCCGTATAGGTTGCTGACGACTTGAGGTTGATTCTCACTATACATTCCGTTTCCATTCCATACCAGTTTCGTAAACGTTCCGTACAATGGGATTGTATACACACTATACCTTACGGATAATGTGCATACACACGCAATAGCCTGCTTTAAGCGAAGGCGAATATTTAATTTCAATAATTTATGGAACGGTTACGGAATGGAAACGGAATGTATAGTGAGAATCAACCTTTATACCGCATCAATGGATAGATTTATTTTAAGCACAAAAAGAACACTATGGAATATTCATTTTATTTTAAATTTTGATATTTTGCCACTAAAACCATACAATATAATTCAAAGATATAAGCCAAGAAAAGGTTTTCATTATGTGTATAATTTATTAAAGCAAGGAAGACACATGCCAGGTTTTCCGGGACAATCTTCACAAAAACTCGTTACTTTGGTGACCTTTTTTATTGACTTCACGGCTTGATAGTGCTGTCCGAAAATTTTGGTAGCATCCTTTACAAATCGTTCTTTTTTTTCTTCCTGGGCCAGTTGTCTTTCTGAATGTGCGTATCCTTTTACGCGTTGTTGGTTCAGAAGCAACTGTAGGAGGATCTCTTAACTGTTCTGCTAAAGTTTTTCTAAATTCGGTTATCGACACTTTGTTCTTTGAAATGCGGTTGAAAATAATCCAGGCATTTACGACACGTGTTCCAAACAGAAATTCATTCATGACTTTCCTGTACCATTTTAGGCCTCGACGTAGAACAGAGTGATATGAAGACATCTGGTCACTATAATCAACTCCTTTCTTAGCTTTGTTATAATCTGTAACACACTTGGGCTTTAGAATGTCTTCACCCTTTCTTGATTTTTTTCCAGTTTCTTGGACAGTGCTGATATGAGTAGGATCTGTAGTCAGCATTAAAACTGGCCGTTTATCAACCCATTTTATAATTTTAACGCATCCATTTTGTTGACCATCCTTTCCTACTTGCACGTAGTGTTCCGCAGTAGACAATTTTTTCATCAAATAGTTTTTTAACTAAAGGCAAGCTTCTATAAAAATTATCAGCAAAAAGATAATGTCCTTCTTTAGCTTTTATGGATTTTAGCAGTTCTAAAACCATCGTTTCTGAATGCTGTTGACCTTCAACCTTTTCATTTTTTCCTGTATATATATAATAACTTGGATTGTGTATCCATCAACAGCACATAATTTATATAGTTTGACACCAAACTTGTGCGTTTCATTGGGAATATACTGGCGAAATTTTAATCGACCTCTGAAAAGAACCATTGACTCCTTGATAACCAGAATTCTGCCAGGAGTTAGAACATTTTGAAAGTTCCTGTTAAGTACTCCCAATACTGTTCTGATTTTGTACAACCGGTCGTTAGTATACAAAAATGGGTCTTCGTTGTTGCAAAAATGTAAACATCGAAGTAAAAGTAGAAATCTATCACGTGATATTATCTTTGCTATAAACTCATTTCTGAACATAAGATCTTTTGACCAGTAGGAATTAACTGACGGAAGCGAGTTAAAACCCACTATTAGAATAACTGAGAAAAAGCGCATGAGCTCGTTTTTATCTGTGTCCACCCAAACATATAACCTGGACTTCGAATTCCTACGTCCTGCTAAGCTTTGTTGGGCGAATCTGTTCGTCTCTTCAACAATGATGTGCCAAAGTTCATCTGTCACAAAAAGTTTGTAGGCATCCAGTGGACTTAGAATCTGACTCACGTCAAAATTGAGTTCAGGTGACTCATTACAGATATTGAAAGGTAACTGCCCTTGAACAATGGCTTGCCAATTATTAGTATCCAGCACAAAAGACGGCATCTTTCCATTTCCATTATCTATGGTGTCATAAGCTTCACTATCATTAGCTATATCTGAATCGGAATCATCGGCCTCGGCGGCACTACCTAGATGGAGAATAAAAGACAGGAAACTTCAACAGAAACAGGCATTTTGTTAGAAATATACACCTTCGATTGTATCATCAAAGAGATTATGTGGTTTTTCATCAGAATCTGATGAAGATGGATAATAGTCTTTATCTATGATAGAATCATCACTCCCAGAGTCAGAAAATTCGTCTCCACTTATAACATAACTTGTTCCATGATTATTTGTTCGTTATCCGTCGTCTGATGACTCTGCTTCAACAATTTCAATTTTATTTTCAGGTATATTTGCTTGTGTACCAGGATTTGTGGGCACTGCTCCAGTATTTTGTAGATTTTTAGTTATTTTCATAATTTTTTTTAACGCGAGAAGAAAACATTTTTGGTGAGTGAACCCAATATACAACTTCACTCGCTCGCATTCGGTACACAAATGACGGCGAAACAGGATCAGACACGTTTGTTCGTACGATTATACATGGGTCTCCACCTATAACGCTCTCCACTAATTATTTTGATATGTCTGTGCGGTGTAGGTCTCCGGAGACCCATATAGTTTTTATACAATTTTCCGTCTCTACAAGATCTCACTATCTTATAGCTACATGTCTCGCATTTATAACTTGTATATTAAGGGAAATGTGCATTCCGCACCAAAACGGAAATTTGAAAAAACAGCTCCGCATCAAAATGAAGTTTGATAACGGTCTCGGGAGACCGATATAGTAGTTAACGTGATATACACTGAAGAAGGTTTAATTCCACGCTACTTAATGACAACACGGTGGCTTGTGTGGCTGTCAGAGGCAATTAGTGAGGGTCAGACATGGTTGCCAGATTGTGCAGTTTCACCACCCTGGTCCCAGTGGAGTACGCTCCGCCAGCTGTTGCAATATAACTCTACTATGGTTTATAAGACCACGAGCCCCTTCCCACTTCATTTGGCCCAACTATTGAAATCTTAGTTTTTTTCTTATCAAACACAAATAATAAAAATGTAGCAGGGTGTTACAGGTTTAGATAGATAGATAGATAGATAGATGGATAGATAGATAGATAGATGCTTTATTGTCTTCGGATCATAGAAATGATATAAGACTCGTCAGGCATATCTCTATTAGTACATTATTATCTACAAAAATTAAAAATATAGTTAAGTATAAATACATGAATTTGTCGGTTAAAAATGGAAAGAAACACAGTTTAGTCGAGAAAACAACAGATACAGTAATAATAAACAGAACAAGGTGTAAAAGAAGTAAGTACATA